CTTAACATATTACATCATTTTTTTCTAATCATTAATTTTTTTCTCACGAGATGAATTTGCGTCCGAAATTTACTTCCAGGAAAAGAACGAGGGGGAAACCGCTGACGGCATTGTGGTGTACAGATTTGCGGCATTACTGGACATTACTAGGCATCTTTTGGGCATTAGGCCTTGCTGGGGCATTATACATATAAAATAAGATAATAAGATAAAGTAATGCCCGCTGGGCATTAGTGGGCATTGGTGTACAAGATTTTGGCCAGCGGTTTATCCCTCGGAAAAGAATGACAATTTAAAATGATAATGTGACGTTCTAACAACGATACGAGCCCAAAATTATTCTAATTCGCTCGCTCGGACAGGCGGTAATGAGAACCCGGGCTACCTGCGTCCACCTATAATCGACAGGTGAAACGCAGGCAAGTTCCGCCGGTTCGCCGCGGGCGACCGGCGAATAAAACGCGAAAAGGCAATCGCGTTAAGGCCATTCTACAATTGCGTAAACGTAGTTGTAGGGTTGTAGGAGTAAAAGTAGTAATAAGTGTTGTACATCAAAGTAATATACAATAGAGTGAGATACGTCGTAATTGAAATGAATGATTAGTTAGCTTTTACGTCCTACATTGTTGTAGTCGTGAAAGATCAAGTTCAGCCATCTTTTACAACAGGCTTTACAATTGGAAATGCTAGTTTAAAACTGTGTTTTACAACACTGTACAACCGCTAACAACTACGTTTACGCAATTGTAGAATAGCCTTTAGTCGGAATGGCGCACCGCATCGATCTCCCGGGGTCCGCGTAACGTGCTGACGCATTAATATTCATTCCAACGGTCGACTTTGTACGCAGCCAGATAATATCCGATATCCCAATTCTTTCCTCCGTGTGTTTAGTCAGGTGAGAGCCAATCTAGCGCGTATCACGCGCGACGCCTGGGCGTAGCTGCTCCGCGGATCCTGCTGCATTATTCATGGCCACGTCGCTACGCGTCGCGTGTATCAAATCTGTCTCGCGCATTAGCATAATGCGAGACGGGATACAGGACCCCGGGGCGACGAATCCGCCGGGAGTAAGGACGGAATCTCCGTTTTAATTGCGCGCCCTCGTTGCGTCGTAAATGGAGAAGAAAAAAAAAGGAAAGGCGCCGTCCTTCGACGATCAAATCACGTTCGATTCTCTAGCGCAAGTAGACTTCAAACGTCGTCGAAAATATTCCTTCCTTTCGCCTCGCGGGTCTCTCGATGATGGATAAGCGTGGCGACGAGACCGAATTATCATTAATAAGACTTTAATTATCTATTCTGCGAAAGCTTATTATTATCTGTAATAAAAACTATCGTGCGCGTAACGACACGTCAGCGATTTCTCGCGTCTCCGCTTTCGTTCGCTAAATGGCAACATAGATTGGTCTCTTTAGCGATTACGACACTGTGCTGAAGAGTGTCTAATGTTTCGATCAAGATCCCTTTCTTTCCGCCGATTCTATGATCTTAAGTGGCACCGCTCGCAAAATAAAAGGATTAAGGCCCGGTTGCACCGGCTCAATTTTGACCTCAACCTAATTCACTCTTTGCCTCTTTCTAAGGGAAACAACTAGAAAGAGACGAAGAGTGAATTAAGGTAAAGTTAAGTGACGTTGGTGCAACCGGGGCCTAAGAGTGAAAGGAGACTCTTAAACGTAGCTCTTTGTTGAGTATGAACTCGAGGTTTTAGCAAACATTCTGCGATAACCCAAGTCAGCGTCCAAGAGGATTAAATAGAACGACGAAGATTACCTTTTTCCTCGGGTGGTAGGTCATCCTGGGACTCGTGATCGTGGCAAGGGTCAGGGCTGGGCGCATCCGCGGCTGATCCTCCACCCGGGCGTCCTTCCCCCTTCGCCGGCACCCATAACTGCTGACCGGAATAAATGAAAGTACTTCCGAGCCTGTTCAATTTGCTCAGCTCGGACGGCGTCGTGTCGAATCGCGCCGCCACCGACGTAAGCGTGTCTCTGTCGCCCACCTGTAATTACGAAGGCAAACGTGTCATTAGGCGTCTCAATTTACGGCGGACGGAGTCCCGCGGAGAGAGAATCACTTTCTTCGCGCGTCTTATGTAAATAAGAGGACGTCATCGCCCTCGTTGTCATGTACCATGTTTCTTACGTCTTGCATCCACGATCCAAGAACTGTGTCCAAGTTCTAGTTCCGAGAAATCTGTAGGCAATCGACTTGCAGCTTTTCCGTAAAAATCTTTTACGGAATCTTTTACGGAAAAGCTACAAGTTGATTGGCTACATATTTCTCGAAACTTGGACATAGCTCTTGGATCGTGGACACAAGACTTTAAGGCCCGGACACACTTAAGGGAATACTGGAGTGATTCTGAACTTTTGGCACCTTCTGCTCCTAGAACTGTCAATTCGTGGAAACATTTGTGTAGTACACAAATTATGTGGCTTTTGTGTACGAACCGACAGTGTTCCATTATTCGGACTAAATCAGAGAACAGCATGGTATCATTGAAATCAAGTTTAGAAGCCCAACAAGGTTACCTAACCTATAACTTATTCGGGTGAATACCCAGCA